CCCGCGGATAGTTTTTCTTCCCGCGGCTCGATACTTGGATATTTTGATCGATAGTTTTTCTACCCGCGGCTCGATTCTGTTTGTTTTTCGATCAAGTTATTTTCATGAATATCGATTAATAGAGAAGATTAACGTATGCTTGTGTACATATGTTACTTTTAGGAAATGGATGCCCTTATGAAAGAAATTGATGTACTAAAGCCAGAAGTGAAGAACACACTAATGTTTTCCCAAGGGATCGACTCAACAAAGAAGAGAATCCTTATGATATATTTGTTGAGGAGCCTTGGCCTTGCATATCACTTCGAGGAAGAGATCTATGAGATCCTAGAAGAGGGTTTAGAAAAGATAGAGGAGATGATGGCTGGTGAAGATGATTTGTACACAGTTTCCATCATCTTTTGGGTTTTCAGGAGTTACGGTCACAACATATCTTCCGGTAAAATAGTTATATTGAGACGAAAATTTAGTCACAATAACTCCAACTTTTTGTAGTGACATAGGCTTTTCATCATGATCGGTGTTGGTACAAGTTTTTTTCATCTCTAGGTTATATGAATAACAAGTTGGTCCGTACGTTTTGGTGAATAGATGTCTTTCGACGATTCAAAGGGATGGACGGAAACTTTAGAGAATCGCTTAAGGGAGATGCCAAGGGTATCTTGAGCTTGTATGAAGCTGCACACTTGCGGACAACGACAGATCATATACTGGAGGAAGCATTGAGCTTCGCGTCAAGCCACTTGGAGTCCTTAGCTACAGGCGGGACGTGCCCGACTCATCTCTCAATGCGTATTCGAAATGTGCTCACTCTACCTCAGTGTTGGAAGATGGCGATAGTAGCCGCAGTGGAATATGTCTCATCGTACGAACAAAAAGACCATGACGAAATGCTACTCAAGTTTGCGAAGATCAGTTTCAAGGTAGTACAGCTCCAATACCTTCAAGACCTCGAAATCGCTACCAAGTATGGAATCTCCTCATTTACTAGTATTTCTATAGCCTTGACTTAACAATCATTTAAAGAAGTTATTCTAACCATGGACGTAATTATATATTTGGATGCAAGATGGTACAAGGAGGTAGACTTTGCATCTAACTCACCACCTTTCTTCCGAGACAGAATCGTCGAAAGTTATTTCGTTGTACTAGCGATGTTCTCCGAGCCACAATTCTCACGTCAAAGGATTATGTTTACCAAATTCTTCACCGTTTTAGCCATTCTAGATGACACATTCAATAGATATGTGTCTCTTCCTGAGGCTGAAAGCCTCGCCAACAGCTTCAAAAGGTATTAAAATGTTTCAGATAAATAT